CCCTTCCCCATCTCCATCTCCTCTTCTATCCTCTTCCTTATTCTCCATCTCCATCCCCTTCCCCATCTCCACCTTCAGAAGGTGACCACGACAAATCAACTTCTGTTCACCAGTGAGTTGGTTTTGATCCAGAGAAGGGGAAAGGCTGAAAAGCAGCAGATCCTGGTGGGATAATGGTTTCTGTCCTGCCCATGTCCTCCCTCACACAGCTGGCTCAGCTGTGACACTCCCCTGCCAGGGGGGACATTCCCAGGTGGGGCTGAAGGTTTCCATCCCTTCTGATGGGGCACAACTGGCCCAACTACGTTGGTCACGTCTTAGAAGGGTCATAAACCCTCCAAGCCCCCCAAAGTGCCCCCAGCCTCATCTCTGGGGTGTTCCCACCTGAACCTGAACGTATTTTAACCCCCTGAACTTTGTGTTTTGGGGGCTTCCCCCACCCCAGGCAGATCAAGACCAAACATCACTTCAACATGGAAATGGCAACAACCAATTCTCGTCACTGGATCCATGGGTGGTGAGAACTTTCTGCTTGGATCCTTTCCTTCTCTTTTTTTCTTTTCCCTTAAACATTCTCTTAAGTGAGAATTTTAAACTTTTATATTCCTATATTTCTACAGATAATAATAACACAAATGGTTCCATCTCCGCTTTTCATTGCAACCAAACTGTTCTAAAATAAACCCTATAATAATAAGTAATAATTTATTAATATAAAAATATAATAATATATTAATACACAATATATAGTATTATATCATAGTAATGGAATAATACATTGTGATATATTATCTAATATATAATAATATACTGTATAATATATGATATATCATACAATATATAATATCTAACATAGCAATATATTATATTAGTAAATGACATATAATAAATAATACATTAATTAATAATTAATAAATATAGATTTACTATATATTTATTATATATTATATATAAATTAATAATGATAAATATATATAAACGCTGGTCATTCAGGGATCTCTTAACAAGAACCTAAGTTCAGTGAGGGACACGGACCCCCCAAGTGCTCCCATGGGTGGGGACGGTCACCTCTTACCGTTCTGGTTCTCCAGGAACTCCGGGAAGTAGAAGAACTCGGGGATGAGCTCCTTGACATCCACGGGGTTCTCCATGCGCGCCTGCCACGCCGCCGGCACCGAGTGGAACTGCCGGTCTGAGCAGTCAAACCTGGTGGCACAGGACAGCTGGTTGGAGGCTGTTTGTCCCCCCCGCTGTCCCCTCCTTGGGGCCTGCCCTCCTGGTGCCCACCTGCCGCTCTGCAGCTGGATGTGGAGGGTGGTGAAGGGCTCGGTGCGGATCAGGTAGTGCATCACTCCGGCCGCGTTGGAGTAGTGGGTGCCATAGTGGAACTTGTCCACGGTGCCCGTGGGGTCCTCAAAGCTCTCATACCTGGAGGTGAGGTGGGATGGGGTCTGCCGTAAGCCAGCCAGGCACTCCTCACATCCCCCGTCCTTTATTTTTGGGGCACTCACTTCTCCTTCACGTCCCGGGCGTGCCGCTCGTTGGCCACCCCGATGGGCTTGGACAGGTCCCGGAACACGGCGGGGTTGGAGAGGTCCAGGGTCTCCGAGACGTAATCCCGCAGGATCCAGGGGAACTGGGGGCGGGGGTGGGAGGTGGGTGAGGCTGGGGGGGGCACGGGCTGGCTGTGGGGGCACGGGGGGGACGTGGGGCTCACCACGGGGTACTGGGACAGGTCGTTGTAGGTGCGCCCCGCGATCGTGTTCAGCTGCATGAGGTACTCAAAGTTGGAGATCTCCCGCAGGACCCATTTCTGGAGCGAGGGGACGGGGGGGTGAGATGGGCTTTGGAGGGGCAGGAGAGAGGGCAGACACCCCACCACATGGCAGGGCCTGTCCCACGGCCATCACTGGTCCCAGAACATCTCTGGTCCCTCAGCTGTCCCCAGTCCCATGGCCACAGCCCACCTCTGGTACCACAGCTGTCCCTCATCCCATGGCCACCCCTGGTCTCATGGCTGTCCCCAGTGCCATGGTTGTATCCACCCCACAGCCATCCCTGGCCCCATGGCCATGCCCATTCCATGGCCACTCCTGGTCCCACATCCATCCCTGGTTCCATGGTCACCCCTGGTTCCACATACATCTCTGGTCCTATGGCCATCCCTGGTCCCACGGCTATCCCCATCCTATGGCCATCCCTGGTGCCACAGCTGTCCCAATCCCAGGACCACTCTGGTCCCAAAGCCATCCCTGGTCCCTGAGCCATCTCTAGTCCCAGAGTCATCCCTATCCCACAGCCATCCCTGGTCCCACGGAGATCTCCAACCCACAGCCATTCCTGATCCCATGAGCATCCTCATCCCACGCTATCATGCTCCCCTTTCCCATCTGGGAATTCCAACCATATGGGATGGGGATGGGCACGGAGAGGCCAGTACCTGTGTGAGCCCCGAGGCTTTGAGCAGCTCCTGGGGCGAGCGGCTGCCGAAGTAGATCTGGTTGGGGGGCCGCAGGCCGAGGATGCAGGAGTACACCTTGTTCCTCACCTGGAGGGACGGGGAGAGGACACGGAGTGACCGGAGCTCGGGCAGTGCCGTGGCCCCGGGAGGGGTTTGGGGGTGGGATAAGGGTGTTCCACCTTCTTTCTGAAGTTGAGGAAGTAGTTGGCCTGGTCGATGAAGAAGAGCTCGAGGGCGGAGCGGCGCAGGTTGTAGCGGCGCAGGTGGACCTCGCGCAGGTGGGACAGCGGGCGCTTGAAGTCGTAGCCGATCCCTGCCAAGATGGGGGAGCACAGAGTCCCACAGGGATCACTGTCCATTCCCAAGGCAGGGATGGGGCTGGGAGAAGCCCAACCCCAAACCAACCGTGGGTGATGGGTTCTGGGGCAGATGTGTGGGCAGAGATGGGGCTGGGAGAAGCCCACTCCCCACCCCCAGCATGGGCGATGGGTTCCGAGGGAGATGTGTGGAGTGAGGGCTCCTCACCCCCCTCGGGGCTCTCACGCCGTTACCTCCCTCCGTCTCCTCCTTGTCGCTGCTGCCGTCGTAGAAGTAGACGTGCTGGGTTGTCACCTCCAGGCGCCCGGGCACCACGGCCACCGTGGTGATGAGCTCGCAGTCCTCCGACACCACCAGCTTCTCCCGCTGGCTCTGCTCCTTGGGCTCAGCCCTGGGGGGCACAGCGGGGTGAGGACACACCGGTGACACCCCCAGCCCGGGTGAGTTGATGCCGTGGCAGGGACAGGGACACTCACTGGGTGTCCAGCACGGGCAGGTCCTCCTCAGCCAGCTGGTCATCCTCCAGCTCGCTCACCTTGGCCTCCTTGGCCATGGCGAGCGGGAGGGGCTCGGCGGGGGTCTGGAGGTGGTCGGCTCCTGAAATGAGGAGGGGGGGTCAGCAGGTGCCCCCAGAGCTGGGGGACGAGTCCTGAGAAGGGCCCCAAAATCCAACACTGTCCATGACAGCTCCCAGCCCATCCCCACGCCCCTGGCACGGGGGTCCCCCGGGTGCCCCGGTGCCACCAGCCTCACCCAGGTTGTCCCGCAGGGCGCTGGCCTCCAAGTGCTGGTCGAAATTGAGGTTGGGCACCAGCTTCAGCCTCATCCTCGAGTAGGTCTCGGCGCTCGACAGCTTCCAGCGAACCTCCGGCGGGTTCCTGGGGGCCACGGGGGGGGTCAGGCACCCCGGGGACCCCCGGTTGTGCCCCCCCTGCCCGGGGACGGGGCGGGCGCTCACCGGTCAGCCCAGGCGGAGCGGGGCGAGGTGAGCAGGCGGCACAGGGACCTCCACTGCTTCAGCACCGTGCTCTGGTGGTTGTTGGCCTGCTTGAGGATGTTGCTGTGCCGGGCGTTCTCCGCCTTGGAGCGCTTGGCCACCGGCTCCAGCACCAGCTCCTGCCGAGGGAGAGCCAGGGTGAAGGGACAGCAGGGCTGGGGCTTGGGGACAACCCTGAGGTGAGGGGTGTGTTCATGGGGGACATCACCAGGGCGAGGAGAACGACCCCGGGATGATGTGCTTGGGGAGAGAAGCACATCACTGGGATGATATCCCAGGAATAATGTTCCCGGGATGAGGAGCATGTCCCCAGGGTGACATCCTTGGGGTGAGGAGCATGTCCCCAGCATGAGGAGCCTTTCCCCTGGGTGACATCCCAGGGGTGAGGAGCATGTGCCCAGGATGAGGAGCATGTCTCCAGGATGAGGAGCACATTCCCTGAATGACATGAGGAGCCCACTCCCTGAATGACATCCTTGGGGTGAGGAGCACATCCCCAGGATGAGGTGCCCACCCCCAGGGTGACATCCCAGGGGTGAGGAGCATGTCTCCAGGGTGACATCCCAGGGGTGAGGAGCACACCCCGAGGGTGACATTCCAGGGGTGAGGAGCACACCCCCAGGGTGACATTCC